CCCCCCCCCCCCCCCCCCCCAGCATCTTAAAAGTACTGGAAATCAGTAGTAGCTCCTAGTTCCTAAAGCATTGGTTCTCAATGAGTGGATGGTTGTGTGGTGGGGGGAGGGGGGTTGGTTTTGCCCTTGAGGGGAAAAGACATTTTTGTATATCACAGTGGGGGATATATGTGCTACTGACATCTAGTGAGTAAAGGCCAGATATGATTCTAAACATTTTACAGTGCCTAGGAGAACCCTTTACAACAAAGAAATGTCCAGTCCAAAATGTCAGTAATGCCAGGGAAACTCTTTTCTGAAGGATTAGAATCAAGGATCATAGGGCCGAGCCCGTGGCGCACTCGGGAGAGTGCGGGCGCTCCCACCGCGGGTTAGGATCCTACATAGGGATGACCAGTGCGCTCACAGCGCTCACTGGCTGAGCACGATTCAGCCGGTCTCCAAAAAGGACAAAAAAACCCCAAAACAATCAAGGATCATAGAGCAAAAAGATCAAAAGGTTCAAGAGAAGACTTAAGTTTTTGGAGTTAGAAGAGTGAGACCCTTTGCTGGTTTTGAATATGTTAGAGGAAATGAGAGAAAATACACTTTACTGAAAGCTTGAGTTTAAATATATCCGAGTTTACTATATTAAGCCATATTTTGACTTTTGTGATTATATATTTAAACCAGTTTCAATTATATTTAGACTTAGCAATCATGTTTAAATTTCTTTGATAACATTTTAGCTAACTTTAGCTCAACATGAGACCTATGTGTTTGTAATTAACATTCATGAATACTGTAACTAAATTATTTTCTTAATGCAAATATAAATTGAAGTACATCTTCTATGTCCCTAACATTTAAGTGTGGAGTATATTCCTCAGAAAGAGATGTACTTTGCCAAGTAAAGTTGTTAGTTTTGTTCATGATATGTTTATTTCTGGGAAGTTTTTGATAAAGAAGACACTCTTTTACCATACTTGTACTATGTTTTATTTGTAAACTAGATTCTTCAACTATTTAATTCTCATTACATTATAAATAAACCTCAAAATAGGTTAAAAACAAAATTCTTGAAATGCTATGGGCATTTGTAACAATGTCTGTAATTTTACTTAACTGTATAACACATTGATTATTCAGAATTACATGTAAAATGTCCATATGAAAAATATAGCTCTACTATATCCTGAGTTTGATATATAAATGAAATGTTTGTTTAATAATACTCTGCCTTTGTAGTATTTGTTTTTTTGAATGAAATTAAATATCTGAGTTTCTTTTTTTCTCATGGGGTTGGCATGAGTTCGGGAACTCAAAATACAGAAGCAAAAGGGATTTTTTTTTTTTTTTTAAATGTTCAAGTTTCTTGAAGCAACTGCCAGGGAAATTGTTTCAAACTGACTTTCTTTGCCTGGAGTAGGCATTTAGCCATTTTCTTCACCATAGTCACAGCTAAGAGAAATTCCGTTCCTGATCATAGCCACTAGATGGTGATCTTTTACGTTGGTGAAGCCTGCATTTTAGTGGGGGTGAAAATTGAAATTGTTGCCCAGATTAAGCAATGTGAACTCAACGTGACATTTATCCATGTGAAAGGTGTGGACTAGCTGAGCACTTAACTAAAACATTTTTTAAAGTGAGACAGGTTTTCATTTGTTTTCAGGGGTTTTACCTTCCTCCTTTCTTGGCTATTTGCTTCAAATTTATCTGTGGAAATCAGATTAACATAAAATCTCCATATTGTGTTGTTGATGATGATTTATTGTGTTACCCTTTTTTGCTTCGTTTGGTAATTTCAATTTTATTAGCTGTTACTGAATTGTTAGTAGATTACAAGTAAATATAATTAAGTGAACACTTCTCTGATTCAATAATTTATGTTTTACTTATAATTCCTTAAATAAAGCATATGAGCAAATAAAATTATTTGTCGTATAATTTAGGGGAAGGTATGTGGCCTAGTGGAAGGACCATGGGCTTTGAAATCAGACAGCCTTGGGTTTGAACAATGATCAGCTATGTTACATTGAAGAGTTCTTGTGAGAATTAAAAATAATGTTTGTAAATGGCCTAATAAAATGTGCATTGTTTCTGGAGGCAGGGAATGATTCTAAATTCTAGCAAGCTCAAGCTGTGAAACCTTGAGAAAATTATTTAACTTTTCTGAGCCTCAGTTTCTTCTTTCATATATTTGGGAGAGTAATACCTGCTCCTAGAATTGTTTAGTGTACTAAATGGGAGAATGTATAAAAAGCACATAGGAGGTTTTAACAAATGCTATCTGTTGTT